AGGCTGCAACCAGTTAGTATCACCCAATAATTTTTGAAAATCATTAAGAATATGCAGTCGCTCTCTCCTAATCTGTACCTTTTGTGGCTGAATTCTTTGTTTACTTAATTTATAGCCTAAATAGCTAAAAGAATCTCCTCTTTGTATTTTTTTTCAGGAGAAATTTATAATTCCCTATAGAGTAAAATTTTCTGTACCATATTAAACATTTTTCCTAAGGTATCTGTATCAGAAGCAGCCAATAAAATATCATCCATATAATGATAAATAATAGACTAAGGAAATTGTTTACGAGCCATTTCCAGTGGTTGATTTACAAAATACTGACATAAAGTTGGGCTATTTAGCATTCCCTGTGGGAAGACATTTCAATGATATCTCCTTACTGGTTGAGCATTATTATAACCAGGAATTGTAAAAGCAAATTTTTCTCTATCCTTTCCTGTAAAGGGATAGTAAAGAAGCAATCTTGTAAATCAATAACTATAATAGGCCATTTTTTAGATAATAAGGTAAAGGAATCCCTTTACCTTTCCTTTGACTGGTTGTGGTTTTCTGCAATGGTCTCCATCTGCTGCAAACAGACGTTTTCCTTGGTGAGCGGTGAGGATCACACTAATCTGTGTGCAGAAGGACAAATACTCAGAACGTAGTTAGTGATTATGCTGGGTTAGTAAAGTGGCAGTTGTGGGTTCTCCTTCAAGATCCATGGCTTCACCAGCCCTGGGTAGTTGGCTAGGTTGTCGGTATCAGGCATGATTTCCTTCTTGTTGAGTGGACCTAAGTCCAATTAGAGAACTGTTGGTTACTGCCAAGGAATATGTGCTACTACTGCACCTTAGGGTTATTATATCCTGCTGGTCATTGCTGTAGTTCACAGATTCATAGCTGGGTAGGACTATTGATTGCTTCCCTGTGGAGGCCCAAATTACTCAGGGTCCAAGAATCTGAGCTTGCTTTACCCAGCAGGGCTGCATAAGGGGATGATTTGACCACGGGGCGTGGTTATCAGGTGTTTGGAAGTGTGCTTTGATCTAGGAAGGGGGAGGTCTTTTGCGTCTCCCCTTGGCATTGTTATAAAAAGTCCTTTTGAATAAATGGAAAAGGCCGTTGGGTTTTGATCCAGGTCCTCCTGAAGCTATGCTGTGTTTCTGTCTTTCCTCTTGTTGTCTAGGTCTCTTTCTATCTGATATTTTCTTATCCCTCTTTCCTCCTCATAGGAACCCTTGAAAAGGTGGGAGCTGGCTCCCACACTTCCCTCCTTCGGAAGCTTGCATGGTGCTTTCTGATATCATGTATTTCATTCCTTTGAATTAATTTGTATGGAGTTCTAATCTTTAGACTCTGGGAATTTGATAATGAGAAATATGCTCTGTGTTGAGTGGATTTTAGATTTTGTTATTGAAATTTTTTTTTCTTTTTGGTTTTTGGAGACAGGGTTTCTCTGTGTAGTCTTGACTGTCCTGGAACTCACTCGGTAGACCAAGCTGGCCTCAAACTCAGAGATCCACCTGCCTCTGCCTTCCAAGTGCTATGATTAAGGCATGTGCCACCATGGCCGGGTGCTCTCTGACATCTTGAAATGTAGTCCTCAGGGAGGCTTTCAGGTCAGATCCAGCTTGGGTCCTTGTATCCTGTGTTGGAAGTGCAATCCTGTTTCAGCAATAGGGATTTACTTTCCACCTCTAGGGGGCAACCAAGGACAACAGCATTAGCCTATAACGTTTTGAGAGTCTCTGGGACAACCCTGACCAACAACTCAAGAGAGGGCTGCTCATGCCCGGTGATGGGGGCTTTGTTAGCCGGTCAATGACTCTTGCGGGGAGCATAGTTAGCCCAGATGAGAAAGTTTCATTTAAGCTATACATGTATATATAGACACACACTTACGTGTATTGTAGGTGTTGTAAGTTAATAGTTAAACTATGATTCCTTATGACCTTTTCAGACACCCTGATGTTATTTTACCCTCCTTCTTCTGTATTTAGCTCCCTCTCTCCTCCCTGATCAGAACCCCCTCCCATTCCCCCCACTTCCTCACTTGTACCCGCTACTCCCCTCTCTGTTGCTCCCCACCCAACAATGGTCCCTTTTTACTCTCCTGGTTTAAATGTAGTTACTCCAGGTTATACACTCACATCTGATAATTTGGAGCTAGGAACCTCAGAAGAGAGAAAACATATGACATTTGTCTTTCAGGGTCTTGACTAACTTACTCAATCTACTTACCTGAAATTTTCATTTTTGTTTATACAGCTGAATAATGTTCCATAGTATATCACATTTCCACTATCCATTTCTTTTCTCTTTCCTTTCTTTCTTTTTTTCTTTTTCTTTTCTTTTCGAGACAGGGTTTCACTGTGTAACCCTGGCTGTCCTGGAACTCATTCTGTAGACCAGGCTGGCCTTGAATTCATAGAGATCCACCTGCCTCTGCCTCCTGAGTGCTGGGATTAAAGGCATTTACCACCACCGCCTGGCCCCATTATCCATTTCTAAGTTGAAGGGCATTTGGATTGTTTCAACTTTCAATAAATATGGCTCAGCAAGTGCCAGGCATGGTGGTGTGTAGCTAGAGTTTTTCTGGTCCTGCCTGGCCCACAGTCAGGACAAACTCTCTCACCTGCCAGTCCCACATGCGCTCAGACCCAACCAAGTAAACACAGAGACTTATATTGTTTACAAACTGTATGGCCATGGCAGGCTTCTTGCTAACTGTTCTTATATCTTAAATTAATCCATTTCTATAAATCTATACCTTGCCATGGGGCTCGTGGCTTACCAGCATCTTCACATGCTGCTTGTCATGGCAGCGGCTGGCAGTGTCTCCCTGACTCAGCCTTCCACTTCCCAGAGTTCTCCTCTCTCCTTGTCCTGCCTATACTTCCTGCCTGGCCACTGGCCAATCAGTGTTTTATTTATACAGAACGATATCCACAGCTGTGATGCATGCCTTTAATCCCAGCACTCAGGAGGCAGAGGCAGAGAGAGGGATCTCTGCTGTGGAACAATCATTTTTACACTGTAAAGATTTGTCACTAGAATTGGTTTAATAAAAAGCTGATTGGCCGATAGCTAGGATTCTTGGGGCAGAGAATATGCTTGGAAGAAGGGCAGAGTCAGAGGAGTCACCAGTCATATGGAGAGGAAGCAGGACTTGCAGGAGAGGTAAAAGCCATGAGTCTCAGGGAAGCACATAGATTAACAGAAATAGGTTAATTTATGTTGTCAGAGCTAGTTAGTAATAAGCCTGAGCAATCGGGCCAGCATTTATAATTAATATTAAGCCTCTGAGTGGTTATTTGGAAAGCAGCTGCCAAGACAGAGAAACTCTGCCTACAGATCTCTGAGTTCAAGGCCAGCCTGGTCTATATAGTGAGTTCCAGGACATCCAGAGCTACACAGAGAAACCATGTCTGGGGAGGAGAGAGAGAGAGAGAGAGAGAGAGAGAGAGAGAGAGAGAGAGAGGAAAGCAAGCAAGCAAAAACCATGGCTGAGCAAATATCTGTGGAATAGGATATTGAGTCCTCTGGGCATGTGTCCAGCAGTGCTAGAACTGGGTCATATGGTAGATTTATGATCAGGCTTTTCAGCTGGTTTCCAGAGCCCTGGACCAGCCTGCAGTCCTGCCAGCACTGAGTGAGGGCCCCCTTTCCCTGTGTCCTCTCCAGCACTTGTTGATCTGTGCCATTCTGCCTGGGGTGAGATGGAATCTCAAAGTTGTTTTGACTCACATTTCTGCAATTGCTAGGGACAGCGAACACTTTTTGAGATATTTCTCAGACATTTCTATTTCTTCCCCTGAGAACGCTCTGTTCAGATGCCATGCCCATAGTTTGAGTGGGTCATTTGTGTTTTGACTTCGTTTTTTTGTAGATTCTGGGTAGTAACACATCGTCAGATGTCCAGCTGGCAGAGATTCTGGCTGCAGAATAACATTGGATCATCCGACTGAAACTTAAAATGCCAGAAGGGCTTGGGACGATGTGTTTCCCATTCTGGGAAACAGCAATTGACAACCCAGAATACTACTCCCAGCAAAGCTATCTCTCATCGTTGTGTACCACATGTATACTTGGTTGTATACTCAGTGCTGGTGGCCTCCCAGAGCAGAAGCTTCATCTGTCACGTAGACCTCGACACAGTCTGCCGAAGCGCTGAAGTCACTCTGCCAAGGGAATTTGTATCTACTCTACCTTTAGCTTAGTATAGACTCAGTGAGCAGAAACCTGATCTTGATCCAACATATTTGCATTGAGGCATGGTAGAAAGACAGGGACAATTATGGATGCATGGGAAGGGAGAAGAGCCCCTTGTCCTGAAGTCTGGCTGAAGCCTCTCCCCAGCTGAGGAGCAAGAATTCCAGCAAACGTGAATGATGGCCACATGGAGATAATATTCCTTTCATAGATAGGTATTTTATGTTAAAATAGCAATGAACGAGACTTAAAGCCTGAATGTATATGACCTTGAGTAGGGCCTCATTCCTCTCTTGGATATTTGATGGGACTCTCACAAGCAGCCCAGAAACCACTGACAGGTAATTCCCTCATGAGAGTGAAGTCTAGATGGGCAGGTGTACACTTTTAAAAGATTAGAAGTGAGCCATTGTGACTGTCCCAGGTGTTCCGGCTGATCAAGGAACAGACCTGTGATGTCTCATCTCTCAGAAGCGTACTCCTCAACTAGTTTGAGATTTCTAGACCAAGTTGGTGAAAATCCCCTAAATGAAAGCCCGCGTCATTTTCTGCCTTCTTATTAATGGCCTTCTCTCCACAGGCTCCCGGCTCCATAATACACTGACCAGGAGCAAAAAACGACGCGCCGATTCACAGGCGGCTTCCACCTAGCTGACCTTGAGAGGGCTGCGGGTCCCCAGAGTCGGTACCACGCCCAACTGCATCTCGTCCTCGCTGGCAGAGAAGTCCCCGCCCACGTGGGCCTGTCCGCCTGGGACTTGTTCTCAGACTGGCACTTGTAGACTCTGTGGCCATTTTGGATGAGGGCTGGAAGACAATGACCCAGAGAGACCGGTGACGTAACCCTGGGCACAACCGCCGGGGAGCCTAGTTCGTGAGACCCCAGCGCCACCATTTTTATGCAGGCGTCCTCAAGTCCTGATTGTGTGCCTGCTACTTTCCGTTTTCAAGTTTTACCCACATTAGGGTGCGCACGGAGCTGGTTTCTGTCCCTTCCCGGCCCGGGTACCCGACCGCCGATACCTGGGGCTGGGCAGGCGTTCCGGGGCGCGCTGGGCCGTCCCGGGGCCGAGCCGGGGGATCGCCATGGCGCAGCTGCTTGCCCCGGCAAGGCCCTCGGCTCGGCCCGGGTTCGGGAAGCTCCGGGTCGTGAGCTTCGCGGACGTGGCCGTGTACTTCTCCCCGCAGGAGTGGGGCTGCCTGCGGCCCGCGCAGAGAGCCCTGTACCGGGAGGTGATGCGCGAGACCTACGGGCTCCTGGGCGCGCTCGGTGAGAGCCTTTCCTGCCCGCCTGGGCTCGCCCCACGCGTGACACCGTGGGTTCACCGCGGTGGAGCGGGGAGCCCTGGGAACTGGAGGCAGGGACCAAGTGGGTTGGCCTCGCCGCATCGCAGGGTTTGCTTTCTTTCCCTCCAGGAGGCGGAGGCGCCAAGCCAGCGCTCATCTCCTGGGTGGAGGAAGAGGCCGAACTGTGGGGACCTGGTGCCCAGGATCCAGCGGTGGCCGTGTGTCCGACGGAAGCAGACTCAGGTGAAGGACTGGGTACTCCGGCTTTGGGGAACTTCTCAGTAGCCGGCCCGTTGTGGTGGTGCCTTCTGGTGACTCCACTTGCCTGCCTGGCAGTTTCTTCCCTGAACTGTTTTCTTGGCCAACGTCGTTATGCCTGGCCCCTGGATTCACCTAGAAAGGGGCTGGGATTGTGCCTGTGCAGTACTCTCACTGTGGTTCCCTGCTGGAGGCGCCTTCAGTTCTTCCTGTCCACCTCTGGCAAGTGCTCAGCCCTCTGGACTTGGGCTTGGGGACCACACTGATGCCCTCTGTGCTGCCTCTGGACATCCACGCACCCTGCATGCTCAGATGCTGTGGCTTCTCCCCTCCAGTGCCCTGTCTGTCACTATGTGGGGGTGTGGGAATCAAGGAGCAGGATGAGTCGGAGTCTGAGCTTTTTCTTGGTCTCCGAGCAGATTGCGGACAGGAGGAAAGGAAGAGACCAAGGGAAGAGACCGAGGCAACCCAGAAGACGTTTTCTACACAAGCTGGGCCGAAGAAGCCTCACCCCTCCTTTGCAGGACTCCCTTGCAAATTGGAGCTGCTGTCCAAGGACACTCACCAGGGCCATCCCCCTCTTGGTGTTCACGCCACTGTCCCAAGAGCAGATCAGCGTCATGGCTGCCGTGTGTGCGGGAAGAGTTTTGCCTGGCGGTCCACGTTGGTGGAGCACCTGTATACTCACACAGGTGAAAAGCCGTTCCGTTGCCCTGACTGCAGCAAGCCCTTCGGCCGGGCTTCCTCCCTGAGCAAGCACCGGGCCATACACCGAGGGGAACGGCCACATCGCTGTCCTGACTGTGGCCGGGCCTTTACGCAGCGCTCAGCCCTCACCACCCATCTCCGTGTCCACACTGGAGAGAAGCCCTACTGCTGTGCTGATTGTGGGCGCCGCTTCAGCCAGAGCTCTGCGCTCCGTCAGCACCAGCGGGTACACAGTGGCGTGACCCCCTTTCCTTGTACAGACTGTGGCAGAGCCTTCGCCCATGCCTCAGATCTTCGGCGCCACGTGCGCACCCACACGGGTGAAAAGCCTTACTCATGCCCTGACTGTGGACGCTGCTTCCGCCAGAGCTCTGAAATGGCAGCCCACAGGCGGACCCACAGCGGCGAGCGTCCCTACCCCTGCCCTCAGTGTGGCAGGTGCTTTGGCCAGAAGTCAGCAGTGGTGAAGCATCAGTGGGTCCATCGGCCAGGAGCTAGGGGCCATAGAGACGGAGAAGCCAGTCACTTATCTATATCCCTGGCCACAGGCCAAGGGGACCCTGATCCACCTGTGGACTTCCGGCACTATCCAGAGATATTCCAGGAGTGCGGGGGGTGGTCTTAAAAGTTCCAACGTAGAGAGTGAAATGTACACACTGTTGGAAGCCCAGAGGCTTGAACCTATGGCATCCTCCGGAAGGCACAGAAGTTCTAGCAAGGGCTGGTCCTGGGGACAGAGTACAGCCTTATGGGTGGTTACCAGCTGCTTTTGCACACATACTGATTCCACTACCCGAGGCTCTGAGTCTATTGGGTGGGGTGGGAAGCCCACTAGAACGCTATGAGAAGCAAGGCTCAGAAGGATTGAGAGGCTTGAAGAGAACCTTGTTTAATCCATTGCCTCGTTAGTGCAGAGGCTGAAGTAGATGGCTCTGTGTGAACTGAGCCAGCTGCATTTCCAGGGGTTATTAGTTACTGGTCAAGAGCTGGGTGTGGTGGTGCCCGCCTCTGACCTCAGCACTTCAGAGGTAGAGACAGGAAGGTCAGGAATTTGAGACCAGTTTGGGTTACCTGAGACTTCATCTAAGGTAAATAAATAACAAGTGAAATTATTTGAGGTTTAAAATTCAAAGTATTTGACACACAAAAGAAGGTCCAGGTTTCTAGCTTCTTTTGAAAAATAAAACAAAAAACTCCAAAAGATTCAGCCGGCCAAGGAAGACAGAACACTGCATGTACTGGGTGTGGCGGCATATGCCTATAATTCCACCACTTGGCAGCTGGAGGCCGAGAGGTAGAAACAAAACAAAAAACAAGCAAAAACAAAGTTCATAAGCTTTGTTTCAGCTCTTCCCTTGTATTTTATTTTGTGGTTTTCAAAGTGCTTTCTTGTCTATTACCTTGTTTACCTCTTCTAACTGCCTAGGAAAGGAAGCAGTTTGAAGAGGAAGCCTAGTCAGGAAGAGGCACTTGGGGCCAGATCCCTGACCCTCTGTGTTCACTCTGCCTTCGCCACCCGTCTGTATGTTCACTCAGGAGAAGCCAGGTAGCCAGCAGCTCCTGAATTTGGAGGGAAAGACCCTGAGAGTTTTGTTCAGTCAGAGCCGCCTCACTTATTTGAACTGGAGGAAATCTGAGCTTTTCTGTCCCTTTGTGGTCAAAGACAGATTACAGGAGGCAAAACTGCCTGCCTAAGATCACACAGAGAGGCTGTAGGGCTCACAGTCTACTGCTATCTGTTTAAGTGTGTGTGTGTGTGTGTGTGTGTGTGTGTGTATACACGTGTGCATGCAGATGCCTGTAGAGGCCAGAAGAGGGCGTTGAGTGCCCTGGAGCTACATACAGGATATTGTGAGCTACCTGATGTGGGTGCTGGAAACCAAACTCTGGTTCTTTGGAAGAGCAGCAAGTGCCATTCGTTAACCGGTGAGCCTCCTCCTCAGCACACTTTTTAAGAGACACCTTGGTATCTGTGAATGTTAAGCTTCACCCCTGCTGTCTTCACCACTGATGAGTTCCTGCCAGGATGAGTGGGAAACACCTGTGGGCTGAGTACTGGGGAGTCTGTGGCAGGAGGATCACAAATTCAGTGCAATCTGGGCTACTGTCCCCAAAAATGTTTGTACATACTGCTCATCCAGAGAACCTAAGTTCAGTTCCCCGCAACACGTCAGATGGCTTACAACTGTCTGTAACTCTCACTCCAGGCTAGGGCCTCTGTGGGCACTTGCACTCATGTACGAATACTTACATACAATTAAAAATAAGAGGAGGGGCTTGGGAAGATAGTTGTCAGTAAAGTACTTTCTAAAGCCTAAGAAACCAGATTTTAAACCCCGGCACCCACATAAAAAAGTCGGGTGGCAGATAAGAGTCTCCCTGGAGCTCACTGCCAAGCCTGGCCAGCCTCATTGGTGAGCTCCAGAACTGTGAGAGACCCTGTCTCTGAGAAAGCAGACCTGGTTCCGAGAATGACATCTGAAGTCTGGCCTCCACCTGCACATAAGCACACACGCCCACATACCCTCAAACACGCTTCCACACATTATTACTATTATTGTATGTTCATGCACGTGGATGTCAGGACGGTTTGGGAGAGTTCATTCTTGTCTGTGTCGGTGTCAAGTTCACGTCATCAGATTTGCACGCGAGCACATTTACCCTCTGACCATCTGACAGCCTACACTTACAATTTTAAAAACTTACATTTTTGGCATCTGAGGATGTTATTTCATAAAACATCTTTTTTAATCATTGCAAATCACACTTAATCACTACTATCATTTGTATTATACACTTTCCAAAACCGAAGCCTGGAGCTTATGGTCAAAGTCATATCCATATGTTGATTATTTTATGTGTGTGCCGAGGACTGTACCCAGTATTCTGATACTGCACGAGGGAGGCCCCGGCTGGCCAGTCAGGGTATCCCCGGGAAAACATGCCCGGCAGATGCAGCGGCGGGCTGTGGTGCATGGACAGTCACTCACACCCTGGGCACTGCATCCACGTGGAAATGAGTTCATTATAATAAAAAGATAGGAGAAAGATAAGAGAGAGAGAGAGAAGGGGGGAAGAAAGAGGGGCGAGGTGCCCACCTCGTGGGAATGGAGAGAGGGGGAGGGGCAGTTTTCTTTTTTAAAGGGGACTTTACATCAGGAGGCTGGGCGGGTCTCCCAGGGGGAGTTTCCAAGGGGCGGGTCAGAATACTAATACCAGGGGCCTCATGAACTCTGCATTGTATGACTGGGTGTCCTCAACCTGGATTTGTAGTTCTTTAATGTGAAATGACTCATTTAAAGGGCTGGAGAGATGACTCTGATTAAAAGCACTTTTCTTGAAGAGGTCCTGGGTTCGATTCCCAGCACCCACACGGTGGCTTGCTACCATCCACAAATCCAATTTTCATGCTCTCATCTGACCTCTGAGGGCACCAGGCACACTCGTGGTGCACATACTTATATATAAGCAAAGTACTCAATAAATGAAACTAAGTTTTTCATTTAACCAGGACATGGTGGAGTCTGGTTTCAGCACTGGAAAGGCTGAGGCAGGAGGATTTGAGTTCAAGGCCAATCTGCGTTACAGAATGACACCTGTCTCAAAGAAATCAGTCATTTGGAGCTGCAGCTGTGGCTCTGTATTTGACCCTTCTGAGCATGTGGGTGGCCCTGGGTTTGTTTCCCAGCATAAAGTAAAAAAAAAAAGCTGCTGAATGTGGTGGTGCACGCTTCTAGTTCCAGCACCTAGAGGCAAAGGCAGGTGGATCTCTATGAGTCAGAGGCCAGAGTCTGTATTATCTTTCTCTAGCCGGTACAGGATCCTCTCCTTGATTTTATTATCTTATTCTCCCACACTCCTGCCCATTCCTGCATAACAAAAGATCTAAGGCATGATGATAGATGTTATGAGGAGTGCTTGTAAGGTCCTGCAGAGCCTCACAATAAATGCTGTTCTGTAGATACTTGAATCACCCCTCTATGCAGTGAATTCCCATAGCATATTCTACCTGCTCATTACTTACTCGCTTAGCCATGAGCTCAGTTATGCTATCAGATCAACTTTTACGGGATTGCAGCTAACCTTTATTTTACTGATTAATGACCCCAAAGTCCAGGGTAGTGATGCGGGCAATTCACATGCCAAACAGAAGCCGTAGAGTACTTCCTTTAAATAAAAAGATGAAGGCTGTTGACTTCGTAGAGAAAGAAAAACATGTAAGATTAAGATCAGTGATACCATCCACTATGGCAACACACCTCTAAACTCAGCACTTAGGAGGTCCAGGCAGGAGGCCAGGGGCTAGAGAGATGGCTCAGAAGTTAAGAGCACCTGCTGCTCTTGCAAAGGACCCAGATTCAATTCCCAGCACCCACAAGATGGCCCATAACCATCTGTAACTCGAGTTCCAGAAGATCTGATGCCTTCTTCTGACCTCCTTGGGTACCAAGCATGCACTTGGTACACATACATGCAAGCAAAACCCTTACACCTCAAATAAATGACTAAATTTAATTAAAAAAAAACAAGGCCAGATTTAGTTACAAAGAGAGTAGAGGCTAGCCTGGGCTAGATGAGACTTTATCTCAAAAAAGGGATGGTGGGGGGAGAACTGGGAAGATAGGTTTGTGGTGAGAGTGCTTCTTGAATAAGCCTGAAGATCTGAGTTCGAATCCCTAACTCCTATGGTAAGTTCAGGAAACTTGAGACTCTTCTCAAAGGAAGAGGAAGGAACAGAGGCGGTGGCAGCTCATGCCTGCAATCCCAGTACGGAAGGATTTCTGGAGTTCCAGGCCAGCTTGTGCTACAGACCGAGACACTGTCACACACACACACACACACACACACACACACACACACACACACACACATCAATTTAATTAATAGAGATAGAAACATCGGAAGACCATGACAGCCTGATGACGCTGAATGCCATGTTGAAAACACGTCCTTGCTCTCTCTTATCATCCGGCATTGCACCATCTCACAGGGTCACAGGGTGTCTACAGTACAATGAACAACTGAGTGAAAACATGCGGGTAGCTGTTACTACTGGATCCTTTGGCAATTGTCCTATTTTGTTTTGTTGTTGATCTCTTCCTATGATTTATAAGTTAGACTTTACCATATGTGTATACGTACGTATTCATAGGTGTGGGAAGAAATAGTACATGTAGGATTTGGTACTATCCTCATGCTGGGCACTTCCTGGGTTCTGGAATGTGATTCCCTATGGAGTAAGAAGTACCTACTGTGTACTTTTTGGAAGGAACATCATTTGCGAGCAGTGGTCCACCCCTCCCAGTTTCCCCCAACCTCTCCTCTGCCCCAAAATCCACTGCTCCCCTGTTTCCTTCAGAAAAAAGCAACTTACCTAAGTATTTTTTTAATTTTTTTTTTTTTTTTTTTTGGTTTTTTGAGACAGGGTTTCTCTGTGTAGCTTTGCACCTTTCCTGGAACTCACTCTGTAGCCCAGGTGGGCCTCGAACTCACAGAGATCTGCCTGCCTCTGCCTCCTGAGTGCTGGGATTAAAGGCGCGCACCACCACCACCTGGCTTTAATTCATTCTTGTAATACAAAAATTTCTTCTGAGTGTCCATCTCTTTTTTCTCTAACTTATTTTTTATATGTCCCTTTTTGTTTGTTTGCCTGTTTGTTTTTGAGATAGGATTTCACTGTTCATCCCTGGCTAGCCTGGAACTCACTATGTAGACTGGTTAGCTTCCCATTCACAGAAAGCTGCCTGTCTCTGCCTCCTGAATCCTGGTCATGGTCATCACACCCAGTTATATGACTTACCTTTGGAAGTGATTCCCTTTTAAAGGAATGCCCTTTCTATTCGTTACAAACTTAGCTTGTGTCTAAATTTCTAGTCCAAAATCTTAAGTCTGGATCCCTTTTGGACCTAGCATAAGGTCAATTTTACTGAATCCATCATGAATATTGTTGCCTTTCGAGACTGTTTTTGTACAATTTGGATAAAGAGTCCACCCAAATCCTTTAAGTGTGCCACAGGAGAGTTGATAGGGTGAGTAGTAGTTCATTTGAGGACAGAAGTCAAGGTGTGCCAGATCCTTCCAGGACCATCTGGAATTTGAGTCAACCAAGCCATTCCAGGAACTGGAACTCAGACGCTGTTGGAAGTTAGGTTTCTACTGAAGGGCCGTCAGTCACATTTGTAGGGTGGATTTGACCTGACAAGAAACAGCTCTAACAGGGTGGTTGTTAGAGGTAGGAATTTGGTGTGTCTTAACATTTCTAATGGCGATACTGATGACCCAATTGCTTGGACACAGTTAATATTCTTGTCTTTTTCATACTGGCAAGAATTCCTATTGCTTTGGCTATAGGGGTTGTACCTCTAGAGATATCTCCACAAAAGGAAATTCCCTCTGCTAGTGTGGAGGGGATCCTTCTGGAATAAGCACTCCGAAGACACCAATGAGAGTGGAAAAGGAAATGTCGTCAGTGAACCGAAGCCAGGGCTCCTGGAAGCCTTGATATCCAGTCCATTTTGCATTCCCATTATAGACTCTAAAACCACGAGGTGGGGTAGGCCAGCAATTGAGATTTTACAGACATCTATGGGGCAGTCAGCAGGTTGTTAAGGGCAACGACCCAGTGTTTCAGCTATTCCTCCTGGTCATTTTGTTCCAGGTAAAAGGTGAAGTCGTGCTTGGCAAATAGGCAGTACAAGCAGTGCTTTAAGTGAGGCTCCCAATAGGTCATAAATCAGGATCTAATAATTGGTCTTTTCTGCCTTATTCTTCAGTAGATTAAAGTAGAGCTCCTGCTCATGCTTGCAATCCCAGGATTTGGGAGGGAGGCAAGACAGTCAGGAGTTCAAGGTTAGACTCAGCTATATAGAGAGTTCAGGAACTACATTCTACATTCAACCATGTCTTTACAAACAAAATGGGGCTGGTTTAATGGTTAAGATAGTTCCTGCAGCTGGGTGGTGGCGGCGGCGCATACCTTTAGTCCCAGTACTCGGGAGGCAGAGGCAGGTGGATCTCTGTGAGTTCGAGGCCAGCCTGGGCTACAGAGTGAGATCCAGGAAAGGCACCAAAGCTACACAGAGAAACCCTGTCTCAAAAAAAAAAAAAAAAAAAGAAAAAAAGAAAAGAAAGAAAAAGATAGCTCGCTGCTCTTGCAGAGGACCTGGTTCAGCTTCCAGCACCTACATGGTGACTCGAAACTGCTTACCTCTAACTCGGGCAGCGTTGTCCAGTACCTTCTAGACTCAGTGGGCAATGCATATACCCCTCCACATATACATAATTAAAAATTTTTAAATCTTTAAAAAATATCTAAATATCAAGGGATTAAGAAATATGTTATAGCCAGGCGGTGGTGGCGCACGCTTTTAATCCCAGCACTCGGGAGGCAGAGGCAGGTGGATCTCTGTGAGTTCGAGGCCAGCCTGGGCTACCAAGTGAGTTCCAGGAAAGGCTCAAAGCTACACAGAGAAACCCTGTCTCGAAAAACCAAAAAAAAAAAAAAAAAAAAAAAGAAATATGTTATAATGGAGTGGCAGTTGGTGGAAATGTCAGAGTTGAGCACTAAACTGCCCATGTACTTGAAGATGATTATTATCCAGTTCTAGAGTCCATATGTATGTGTCTGCAGTAATGGACACAAGTCTTAGCTGAGAAATGTAAATCGAAAAGTATCTCCTGAGAATCTTGGATGTGTTGTCTAAGTTAGTTGACAAAGTCCACTAGTTTTAGCTCTCACCCATTCGGTTCTTCATTTGTCAGACACTCACCGTGACTTTTAATATTTAGGTGTCATTTTAAAAAGTCCCTTACAGCACTGTGTAACATCTTCCTTTAGCAGAGATGGATCAAGCAGTCTTTGTCCTTCTTAAGGATTTTATGTATTTATTCATGTATTTATTTATTTGAAATGGATTGTATCATGCACGCCTCTGAGTGTTGATTTACAGGTCATCTGGAAGACATACACAAAGAAGCAAGGTTGGGGAGTCAGTTCACAAAGGGGACAAGGGCCAGGCACGCCTGTGGAACTGTGTTGGGTACAGCAGAGATGACACACGAGACACGTGAGAAAAATCCTCTAGCAGCCTGGGCCTGTAAACGTTGAAATGACTGTTAAAGAATGAGCAAAGACTACCCTGTATGTGTGGGGAAAGAGGTCCTCAGGCCCCCAAACCACGGCTAGTGCCACTGCTGTTGGCTGCATGCCAGAACTAGGAGAGAACACTCTCTTGGTGAAGATACACCATGCTCTGGTTGCAGGACATAGAAAACTCAAGCCGGGACAGATCTTCCTGCTGGCTAGCTCCCGTGGTGCTGAATGGTACCATTCAGGCAGCTGT